ATTATTATTATTATTATTATTATTATTATTATTATTATTATTATTATTAATATTGGTGTATTTTCAGTGAAAGTGTGAATAATTTGTAAGAACGAAATGAGGAATCCAAATAATAATACTGTTTTGCTCTGTGGTTATTTTGGTATTTGATATTTCTGATGTTACGTTCCCTTCCTGATTACTATTATTATTTTCTCTTTATATATGTATATAAATAGGTGCAGGAAGAGGAGCAACCCGTCAAAGCGAATACAAGAGCAAGAAGTTTAACAACAAGAAGAATAACAATAAATAATTGTTAGGTTTATATTTGAGGAAAGAGAAGCTCATTACAATATTAAACGAAAAGAGAAAACCCAACCACCACCACAACAACAAAAAGAAAAAAAAAAATAACAATATACATCTAGAAATAACGAAGGTAGGAAGAAGAAAAAGAGAAAAAAAAAAAAAACATAGCCATAGGTAACCGTATGCTTTCATATGGAGAAGGAAAAAGTTGTTTGGGCCGGTTTTGGCATCTTAAGTATGATGGCACTGGTGTGTTTGCAGCGGCCGTCCATGTCGTTATCGCGTGAAAGACGTGCAAAGCGCATCTCCCGCGCTGAGCGCACAAACTCCCGGCAACGCAACAGCACCTCGAGTCCAATCACAAACGCCACTCCAACAACCACAAGAAGATTAAGCATGACGGCTGGTAAAAACGATCGATCTTGTGGAACGACAACATCTAGACGAGATGGAAGTATGGCTCGTTCAAACTCTACAAATGGGATGATGACAGTTGGTAGAGGAAATCATGATTCCCACTCACCACGAGAAGGACAGGGAATGAATTCTACCGTAGTGAAGGAACTCCCTCACGTGTTAGTGCATGATCATTCGATTCCCAGCGAACAACACACAGCTAGACACCAAACAAAAGAGCAACACCATCTTGCAAAGAGTACAGGAGATGCTGTGAAGAAACATCGACTTATGGAAGAACGGGCCACACAGACAGAAGGTTATACATGGGAAGAATTACGCCGTATGGAGGCTCTCTTATTAGCGCATAATAATAATAATAATAATAATAATAATAATAATAATAATGGTCGTGGAAATGAAGGTGGTGATGCTCTTGATTGTATTAGTCCCATACCGTTTAGAGACGGAGATGATCAAACACCACTCTCTTCTATGGCGATCTATACAAGCCCTATGGCCCCAACAAGAGAAGGAACATTGCCATTATTGCCTCCTTCATTACAACGTGGAGTAGAAACAGAACTGCAGAGACTTGTAGAGGCGGTGCTGAAACCAAACGCTGGTCCTCAAGTGTGGTTTGAACTCTTTACATTTCTTATAGAGCTTCCTCGATGTGTACGGCGTCATTTGGTTGCAACAAAGGGAATTGATCTTCCTTCCTCACTTCCTACTACTACTACTAGTGGTAATACTCCTGTTGTGGCTGTTAGTTCTTCATCATTTAGTGCGAGTCCGTATTCAAATAGTATGGTGCATTTCAGTCGTCTCCAGCGCGAGGTGCAACGACTAATGAAAGGCGAAGTATCTCAAGAAACCAAAATTGGACAATTTAAACTCTCAGATGATGAAACGAAAGTTTTATGGAGTCCACTTAAGGAAAAGGGGGATAGAAAAAATGGAAGATTTTCTCACTTTACTGTCCTCTCTAGTGATGAGGAAGAAATAGAAGGAGAGGATGATGATGATGATAATAATGATAATGAAGATAAAATCAAGGTAGCAGAAGTTGTTGAAGGTATTCTTTTAAAACGGCGTCAGTCGAGGATGATTTCTGAATCCACACAATTTCCTGAAGGAATAATGCCTCAAACAGAAAATTGTGTAGAAACAACATCAACAACATTGGAAGAGACAGATGTAATGGCATTGCTTAGTAAACTGGTAAAACTAAAACATCATACGGCGTTTAGTTCACTGCAGCGGAATTGTGCCGATGTGTCTTTTTCAGTTGATATTGTGGATCTTACAAATGAGGCCCAACGTTTACTCGATAGAGCGGCCATTCGATCGGCGGCCATCACAACACCAGCAACACAGTCATCATTTTCATCTTCTACTACTAATGCTGTGCAGATGCCTTCTACGACACAAAACTCACAGAAGATGTCTTGGACGCAGCAGTCATTTAGACAGAGAGAAGATTGGAATGATCAACCTCTCTGTTTAACTCCACAAGGAACGGGGCGTATCGCTTTAAAAGATGAAAAGACTACTATGCCGTTATCCTCACGTGGGTTGCAGAAACAAGAGAGTAGCAATACCGCAAATATAAACCGTATGGCTTGTAAAAAAGAAGAAGAACAACAACGCAGTGGTCAGTACTCTTTGGAAGATCGTATTGATAATATTTACCGCCTGTGTGAACCACAAGAGAACGCTGCAGCAACACCACCGCGGAATAAGGCACCAGAGCCTTTTGGACGCAACTTAACCACATCCACCATTCCTAGTGCTCTCACAGATGAGAATGGACAACAACGATCACTCTTTGCAAGATCGCAAACACAAGCAATATTGGAAACGCCAAATCAAAGCAGTAATGGTACTACTCCAACTACGGGAGCACGAAAGAAGTTTACCGTTTATGATCGTCTCTACACCCCACCAAAGGGAGTCGCTAAAGTAGCTCCACCAACACCCCCACCAAACTCAGGGAGATCAAAGCCGCCATTTAATGTTTATGTGTGAGTGAATGTCTGTGTGGGGTGTGAAGTGATGGAAAAGGGTCAGAGGGTGTTATTGTATTAGTTCATTGTTGTTTATTTTATGTATTGCTGTTTTTTTTTTTTCTTTACATACGTGTACTTTCCTAGGGTGAAGAATGTGGTTACGTTGTTAACATTGGTATAGGGGTATTTATCTCTCTCTTCCTCTTTAATACTAATATATATATATATATATATATATTATATGCACATATAGAGTGAGCGTGTATGGGTATCAACATAGAAGTAAAAAAAAAAAGAGTTTGCTCATCAAGTATAACTTTGTTACCATTTTTTTTTTTATTCGTTACATCTGTTTTCTTCATTGTTGAAAGAAAAGTGGCAAAGTTTTCCTTATAATAGAAAGAAAAAAAATGAATAAAGGAAGAAAGAACTTGCCGAGAAAACGAAAGGAAGTCTTTTTACTGATTGGTATGCTGGGGTTTTTGATTTTTTTTTTTTTTTCTATCTCTTATCATATCTCATAATGCTGTTTACTAAATACTCTTTACCATTCTTGTTGTTTTTTTTTTTTTTCTTCATTTCTCTTTCTTGTTTTCTGCTTCTCTGTATCTCACCTATTTGTTATCTAGTGGGGTGATTTAAGGTAATAGGGTATAAAAAACACACATACACAGATATATATATATACATATATATATACAGAGAAAAGTGAAAAAGGTCACTTTCCTGTAGTGTATACGGATACTGTACGGACGCAAGAGATTTAATTTGTTTCTTCTTGGGTGGCAGAGAAAGAGACCTTTAACAATCAACATAAAACAAAGAAAAAAAAAAACTAAGCATTTTATATTATTTTTACTAATATATATATATATGTATATATATATATACAGGTGCATTCTTTTTTGTTGTATTTTCTTTCTTCTTTTGTTGTATTGAAATGAATCAATTTGAAAACCTCGGTATTGCTTTTGCGAATATTGTATGTAAATTTCTGGAGGGTATTGATTGCGGGGACTATGATGCCTCACTGCGGCGTATGTTTGAATGCTGTTCTCGAGAGAAAAAAACACTCGTTTCGTTTCTTATGAGAAAAAAGGCTCAACGTTACGAATGTATTTCGGAATGTTCTTGTGGTAAATGGATCAATGAAACTTTAACGGAGATGATGCGAGAGAGTAGTGAACAAACTGTGCAGTGTGATCAGCACGGTGAAAGAACAGATTCAACAAGGACGGATGATTTGACGGAAACATCAAGTGTGACTTTACTAGAGAGGAGTATTGAAACGAATGCTATTGTAACGCAGTTAACAGTCGTGAGAAATACGTTTATTAAGTGTTTATTAGGAACAAGAGAGTCTCCTACATCTAGAGCTACTTCTTCCTTATCTAATCATGATGTACTGCAAGAAATTACTGTGGAGTACTCGGGAGGATTAACAGACTCTGGAGTAAAGTCTATTGAAACGCTTATTGCTTCTTTAAGTAATCGATTAATGCGTTCACATCAATTTAATAGTGGAAATCGAGCATCAACTATTGAGCGAGGCGTAATTTGTGATGGTGTTGAGTTGTATGATCACAATTATGCTCAACTGCTGAGTATAACGGTAGAGGTTGTATGGGCTTTCAGTCTTTGTCTAATTTTAGCAGAACAGGACTCTGTCTTTATTCGTTCTGGTGGCCTCGTCCACTGTGCTAGATTTGTCCTGCGTAATCGTAATCGCTCTCGTGTGCGTGGCGTACAAACTTCATTCCCTCGTCTTTGTGATCTTCCACCGGTGTTCTTTCTTTCACTTAATCTTGCGATAAGTTTAGAGACGCACTTTCATTCTGTACTCTTACATGCAGGGAGTCGTATGTTATTACCATCTGGTATCTATCATCTTGTGTTGAGTCACTCCTGCTATGGGCTTCTTTGCCAATTAGATGAACAGGCGGTGGATCGTGTGAGGAAAGGTGTTGTGCAGACATGTGCATCTGTGATGAAAACCGCACGGCTGACCTGTCAAACGTGGGAAAATGTAGATTGGGGAGTTATTATTTCAAAAACTGGGCTTTCTTCTTCTTATATAGATTATGAATCTTTAGCACAAGATATGGAATCTATTTGGAGACGTCGACAGAAATGGTGGGAGGACTCTACAAAAGATACAAGTCGTGCGGCTGAAGTGACATGGACAAAAGCGCTTCCCATCATTTTAAATGGAACACTTCCATGTTTTCTCTCTACGCATATGCGACAAACAGAAGAGTTTGTATCGAATTTATACGTCTCATTAAAAGGGAACAATAATAATAGGATTGATAAAACAATGGGGGATAATTTTAATACATTGTTTTGTGGTACAATGCAGTTATCTCATATTTTCAATAATCAATCCGTTATGCAAGGTTTTTTAAAAGAATTTTTGGATATTGTTAAAAGATTATTAACCTATTCAAAAAAAGATAAACGAGCGAGAGAGGTGGTTTCTATTGTACTCGCTGGATGTTTCTTCTTTATTCCTGGTACCTATGATGGTCGTCGCCGGGATGCACATCAAATGGAAATGACCCCTTTTCAACCGTTAGTGGAAATTATTTTAAGTGAAGTAAATAATTGGTGTAAGCCAAAACATGCGATGTGGTATTCTATTTCAATGGCCTCACTACTTGGAGGATGTTCAATGAAAACATTAGCTGAAAGATTACCCATTTTCTTTGAAACCATGGGATTATGGTTAGGATCTGCTGATAATACAGATAGAATCGCTATTCTCTATTCCACTCTTCACGTCGGAGGTTTACTATGTGATGTTTGTACAAATCCCACTACAACAGCATTATTTGAATGGGGAAGATCCATTGAAGCTTTTTGTAATTCTGTAGAGAAAATGTTATTAAAGAGTATTGGGGATGAGAGTTGGGAGGAAACTCAACAAAGTCCATCTACAGTAGCTGCAGCCTCTGATTTGTTAATATTTTCTCTTCAACAAGAACCATTTCACTCTAGAGCTTGTCAATGGTTAATGAAACTTTTAGAAATTAAAGCAAAAGTAAAATTTGCATTAAAAGGTTATAGAGGCACTCCTATTTCTCGTGGTCAATTAATTGCTATGCGGACTATTTCAGCTTTATGTGGTTTACAATATTTTCCACGGCATCATTTTTTGGATTCTAAACGAACTGGTACAAAAGATTCTAATTTAGTCTGTAGTATGGTAATGGAATATGAAAATCGAATGAATATATTTTATGGGAGTTCTAGTGAACATAAAGGATATATTAAAGATCGAGTTGCTAGTTTAATTACTATTTATGGATCTTATTATAATCCTGCTGTTACGACGATTGAAGGAACCACAATCTTTTGGCGTAGTGATCATTTAGAAAATGTCTTGGGGTTTGTAAAACAAGCAAAAGAGATTACTCCTATTATTTATGAATTACGTGAAATGGCCTTTGCATACATAAGGCATATAAATACAGAGGGACAAAGTGTAGAAACAATGGAATCTGCACTTCCACTTATTAATATTTTTCTTGTTTCTCGGTTTTGGGTTTCACCTGAAGTGGTACTGGATAAACAGCTTACATTACCAATGATACTTGTAGGAGCTAAAACACCTTTATATGAGGTGGTTTCTCAAGTAGTCATGCCATTCTATTTACATAATAAGAATGATAGTAATATGTCAAGTTCTGCATTAGCTCTTCACCGGTTAGCAGAATGTATTATAACACTTTTGGCAAATGATGATGATGAACATGTAGAGCAATTAGCAGAATATATGATTACACATTTGGCTATATTAAGGAATAGAATGGAATTTACGGTAAACCATGAATTATATGCTGATAAGACGGATGGAAGTAATGTTCCTTTAACAATGGAATCCCATCAAATGGATATTCCCTGTAATGAAAAGAATGAAAATAAAATTTTATTATGTAGAAGCAGATGGAATTGGTTATTAAATATTATGGATTCAAATCTTCATTTACCAGATGATTCTTCCGTTTCCTCATCTGGTGCTCAAGATTGGTGTTCTATTCCTGGTTTACGCAGTGCTGCCCTTATTGACATTTTAGAAGGACTTTCTGTGGTTTTACTCGGTCATTGCAGACGACAGGTACGTCGATTAGCTTTAGTACAACTGGAGTTATTGGCATCTCTTTTACATTTACAGAAAATTCATTGTGAAAGTGCAGCTCGGGCTACATTGAATGCTCGTAATACTAATATCTCTAATGGGGTGCATATGAATACTACTTCCTTTAGTGTAACTAGTAATTATTCTCTCTATAATACAGAAGTGAGTTCTTCACGTTTAGCATTGGCAGATATTTTCACGGAACTGAGTGAACAGTTTACAGATATGTATGCATCTCAGAAAGAACATTATGTACCACTTATTCGCCTATTTGATTTAAGATCATCCGTTTCTCGACATTCTATGGATGATAAATGGGGAAGTGATGTCAGGCGTATGTTTTCACGAGAGTCTTTTACCACAACTTCTATCAATATACAGGAAAAACTTCGATTGTATGGAAAAAGTACAAAACGAAATACATCTCTTCTTACCGCACCTTTTGGTATTAGATGTTTATCTGAAGATAATAGTGCTTCTCTTTTTATTTTTACCTCCACCACGGCATTATCACTAATGATGTATGGATATTGTCCAGGCTCTGCAGTTGTACCGGTGTCCTGTGCGATTACAGGGGAAGTGGTAGAAAAAGGGATGAAACAATATATGGAGAGAAATTCCCCTGTTTGGCGATCGTGTTATACTTTCTATTTTCTCTTATTATGTGTGGATAACTTTAAGGTATCCCCAGATGCTAATCGTTTAACACGTGGGGTGGAATGTAATCGTCCTGGTCATCAACAAGGGGCAAAATCTATTTATCGTGGTGGTCCAGATGCGACAAGTGAAGTTGGATGGCAAATTATGAATCGTCATGAAAAATATCATAAACTTATGAAAGATATTACATTACCTTTAATTTTACATGAAATAAATAATGAGAATAACACACCATACTTTATAGATATGCTACAATTCCTTCTCGTTGGTCCATTAGAAATGGCTTCTACAGGAGTTTCTTCTCTTGTAACCTTTTCAGGTATCATGGATAGTGATCACCCTGTAGTAAAAAGTCTTTCTGGAATTCTTGGACAGATTAATAGTAAAACACGTAAAAATAAACAACATGTTATCAATGCCAGTCTTGTTATTCTTATGCCTATGCTTATAATTATTGGAAGACGATATTTTGTCATGCCACCTGCTACTCCAGGTCGTATGCAAGATACAGTTGCTACAAAACGTACAATAATGGAAACGATTATTAAAGATTTTATTAATTCAATGTTATTAGGTGAACATATCTGTAAGGAATATGGAGATGATATGGATCGTGAACGAGGACCCACAGTGGAAGATTTGGGAAAAACATTAAGTGAAGGAAATGGTGTAGCCGTAAGCTCTTGGTTGGCTCTTCCTTTTATTCCTCCAACAGTTTCTCCTGGTGATAGTAAGAGTCAAAGCAATCATGACTTATATTTGGAAATTAGACCTATCATTTTACTTCGAGGTCTTTTATGTGATTTGATTGGTCTTGTATACTCTAAAGAGACGAAGTATTTGGAACCTCATTTAAGGAATAATCTCTTACCTAGGGTTCTCTATTCTCTAACGTATCAGGTACATTGGTTTCTTCAAGGATATATGAGTTCTCGAGGTAGTTTTTTAAAATCCAAATCCCCAAAGAGTTTGTTTATAGCTATGGAAAAGAGTATTATCGCTTTACAAACGGTTGTATCATCATCAGAACCTTCTCAAGGTGGTAATCGTTATCCTTCAGATTATAAGAATATAATAAATACATTTGCTGAAAAATTCTTTAAATGGTTACAACAGGCATCCCAAACGGAATATCATAACCTTGAAAAAAGTGCAACAAGAATATTTGATCTTGCCGTAACGTTATTATTAGCAGATTCTCCATCTTTAGAGTATGCCCATCGTGTGCTCTGTGAATTGCCTATAGGTAGTCCTGTACATCGAACGTTTTTTGCTTTACTCGTCACAGCACTTCCAGCAAAGTCTGGTAAACAGAAAGAAACGATTCCTTCTAGAAAACAAATGGGTAGAGTGGAATTATCCTATACAAAGACGGAGGCAACAAGTAATGATGCGTTTACGACTACCCATACATCAGCCTCTTTACGAGTTGATACTCCTTTAACTGAATTGATATGGAATCCATGTATAATCTTTTATAGTTTGGTATACTTGTATGAAGATGTGAATGCTGGATGTGTCTTTGATGCCGCTATACGTTTAAAAGCACAAAGTTTTCTGATGCTTCTATGTGGAGAATCTCCAAGTGACCGTTCACATGATCCCTTAGATGACTGGTTGTGTCTCTTGTTAAAAACATATCATCATAGTCGTGGAGAATTGGAACATGCATGTGGTCTTGTTCAAGTTCTTTTTACAATTGCTAGTGGAGATATTCTCTCTGCTCAGCGTAAATCGAATAATCCAGTACAAATACAACGTATTGCACTTAAGCTTCTTACACTTTTTATGCGGCGTGTGGAACCCACAAAGGCGAATCTTCGTACGATTCTTCAAGTTACACAATCGTGTCGAAACTCTATTTCTGAATATGCATTGGCGGAGTTGTGGGGCGGTTGGATAGCGTATGAAGGACGTGAAAGAGAACGTTTTGTATCCCTCTTAGTTACCTTACCATTGGAATTATCAGAGAAACGTCTGGTAACCAATTACATAGATAGTTATATTGCTCATGAGTTAACCAAACAAGGTAAAGCACATAGTGGGAAATTGGATGGTCGTTCACGTGGGGCATATTATAGTTTTTTACTTTTTTCATTTTATCAAATGAAGAGTTTGCGCAGTAAAGTCATTGAAAGTGTTGCGGATAATAATTTTAAAACAGATACCGTAGACACATTATTGGACTCTATACGAGATGATGAGATTCGTCGAAGTTCAACAGGTTGTCTTTCACGCAGTATTAGTCAAGCTGGATCCCAAGGTAACCGAAAGATTAGTCAGGGTGGTGCAGCAAAAAGAAAGAGTTTGTGGGTAGTGGAAGAAAATATTTGGCAAAGTAATGTGCGATTTACTACAGATTATACAAAGAGTGAAGCTGCTGCTGCTGCTGCTGTTGGTGGTGGTGGTGGTGGTCCATTTATGAGAGAAAGACCAATGGATCATGGGGCCAGTAGTGTTTCAAGTGAAGTTCGAGATGATGCTGGAATGATTCGAGAAACAGGATTTGTGAAACCACTTGTGAGTGTCTTATTCTTTGCATCCTGGGCTATAGAGAGACTTCAACCATTAGGTTGGCGTCTATGGAAGGAGTTAGATAGAGATCTGGGAACTATTTCAAACTTTATGCGAAAGGAATCATTATCAGATGCCAAGGGAGTTACTGGATATTGCCCTAGTTACACTTGTGCTTCAGGTGAGGGTGGGGAAGCTGGAGATTACGGTGGTTATTATGGCAATAATAATACGAATACTAATAATAATACTAATAATAATAATAATAATAATAATAATAATAATAATAATAATACTACGACCAATCAAAATAAAAATAACAATACGCCTGCTAATAATAACAATAACAATAATAACTATTATTATAATAGTAGTAATAGTAGTAATAGTAATAGTAGTACGGCTAGTGATGAAAGTCTGCGGAAAAACGAAGATACAGAGGAGGATGAGCGGATTGTTTCCCATGTGGAGCAAACAACATACGGCACTCAGGGATCTTCTTCCTCAGAGGATGAACCGTTAATGGCATTTAACCCTGCAAGTGTAGAAGAAGAAGAAAGAGGAAGAGGAAGAGGAAGAGGAGGAGGAGTGGTTAATACAACGGCAGTCATGCATGAACGTGTAGAATCAGATACGGGCAGTGATGGTACAATGGTGGTGCATGGAAATATTGCCGCCAAAAGCTTTAGAGAAACTATAGAAGCAGAGATGAAACAAAAGAACAAATTAAAGAAAGCCGAAAAACGACAACAACAATTAGATAGTAAAGCTGAAATGACCTTTCGTCTATTACAACGTGATTTCCTTTCTCTATTCCTCCACTTTGCATGTATGTTGTTAGTACATCTTGGCTGTGGTGAAGTACGGCGTAGTGATGGACGTGATGAATTGTTATTACGATTTCGTGTTGTGGAGGCCTCATTTGAGGCACTTGGCGGTCAATTAAAAGGCGCCACATCCGAGTCGAGTTATCGGGCCACATCTACACTTAAACATTGGCTTAAACTCACACTTGCTCGTATACAGCAACGTAATGCCATGGCTCAACGTGATGATGATAGTATCAATAACAATAGTAATAATAATAGTAATAGTAATAATAATATGATTGTGGATAATGGTGGGAGTAATAAAGGTTTCTTTGGTAATTGTGGGGATGCACTATTTCATGATATGTCGTTACTATTTGAACAGGTTGAATTGGATGAAAGCCTTGCAGATTCCGCTTCATCTAGTACAGATGTGGTACTCAGTGAACTTTTCTTAAATATTGCAGGTCAAGGACGAAATATAAGAGGACGTCGATTTTTACTTCGCTGTCTTCATGAATCCACTACCTGGTTACAACATGGTGGATCTGCTCCTCTTAGTGAGACGGAAATGCGGCTTCGACCTCCCATTCCCTTTTCTTATATTTCATTACTCTCTATGAAGATTGCAAGAAGTATTTCCTCATCTCTTGCCTTTACAACGGGTGTTTTACTGGTGAGTTGTGATGGTAGACGACTGTGGATGGAAAAGACAGCAATGCAACTCGCAGAGGCAAGTGCACTTCGCCGTATCCTTGCAGCTCTTGCCTCTCATATGAGGAATGTTAGCAATGATGTTTCTGCATCCGTGGAATCTTCTTTATTATCACAGGATCATATGTGGTGTACTTCTATCTTAACATCATTGGCTTGTTTATTACGTGATATAATTGTTCATGAAACGTATTATTGTACACGAACGCGTACAAGAGAGGTAGAAAATGATAAAACAGAAGAAATGGTGTTAACAACTGTTTTTGGTGTAAATAGTGCATTTCCTAGACGTTATCTTTTATTGTGTTTCTGGATTGGATTTTCATTTTTACTAAAATCAAACATATGGCATGAGGCATGTAATTTATTAGCTATTTTTCATCGCTACGGTTGTAGTAGTTATCTCGTTCATATCTCAGTGCCCACCTTACCTTTATTGAATCACTTATGTGTAAATGTAGCCCCTGATTTTTTGGCTGTACAACTTGCTTTATTTCATCAAGGCAGGACGGCGGGAAATCGACATAGGGGAAGTATTATTTCATTATATGATTCTATGGGTAAGTCTCCTGGTCCTACAAACGATTCGGTATTAAATTATTTAAATGAATATGCAAATGAAAAAGATGAGTGTGCGTTATTTCTTGCTTTTTCAGAGTTATTACTACTATGTGACTGGGAATCCATTAATGTGGAAACCAATGCCCCAAGGTTTACTGCATTTATAAATAAATTGAATATAAATGGTGGTTTGGGTAAAGGTAACCGAGGTGTACAGTCGCAGGGAGATTCTAAATCTTTAAGCTCAACTGTATCGAACTCATTTATACGTTACTTTTGCCATCTTACGGATTTATGGAAACAGTGTCTTGTTAAATATTCAAGTGACTATGAACGGACATTACAGACTTTATCTACTCGTATGACATTTCTTTTAAATGATTTTTTTCTAATGGGAGCCAGAGCCTTTGGGGTTTCTTCTATTGATGTACTTTTACATCGCGTCATTATAACAAAAAATAATTACAAGGGTTCACATGGGGCTGGATTATCCCATTCGAGAAGTCATGCAATAGATCTTTGCTCACTTCATAGCTGTACAGGATCTTTATGTGATAAACACCATTTGTCTGAAGAGAGTGTAGCATTATTTCAACGACTATTTGATTCTTTAGTGATGACACCTCTTATTTTATTATTTCAATCCTCCAAGACTCCATTGTCGTTATGGTGTAAAATTTTAGTTTTTGTGGCTGCACTTTTATCCTTTCATAAACAGAATCACGGATATGTAACGGATCTTTTATTGAAGTTTCTCCCTTATTTGGAGCGTGGATTAAGTGTGGACTCCACTCATAGTTCAGTAGGAGATGAAACCCCTCTTTTTGAACGATTCGTGGTATTATTTCTAGCAGATGAAGTTTTAGAAAAGTTGAAGAGTTTAAAAAGTCCAGTATATACAAACGTACCACCTGGTATCGGCTGTGATTCAAGGAAACAACCACCTTTTTTGGTTTCTCTGGTAGATGATGAGAATTTAATTGCGGCACTGATTGAATACATTGCGAAAGACTCCTTCTCTGTTCGTTCAACAAGAGATACCGCACAGAGTGTCTCTTCCACATCTCTTTTGGAGAGATCAGTGATGCAAGCCTCATCTTTACATACAGAAGAGGGAGGCGGTGCGGTGCTGCCTATCATAACAGCATATAAAGATAATTCCCCTACTAGAGATGATGATGGAAAAGAGAAGCAAACAGCGGAGTGTGAACACTCACAGATTCCTTCATCTGTTGTGCCAGAAGAGTCTTCTAGCCTTTGTGTAAAGAAGAAATCTAGTTTTATTGTTTCTTCCTTATCTCATCGGTTTGGGGAATATGTTTATGAAGTTTGCCCTGGAACCTCCACTGGTGGTGTAGAAATGCTGGATCAATTACCTTTGGAATGCTACAGACCTCCATTACGAGAAAGATCTTCTCCAACTCTTGACGTTGATGTAGTTAAGGCGGCAGAGGAACACAATAAAGAAAGTGATGGTAATGGATTAGAAAAAGTAATAGTAGTAGTAGAAGGAGAAGAAGAAGATAATGGTACACAGGAACATAAACCACTTACTACAAGGGCACGACGATGTCATTCGGATCTAAATCAAGTTTTCATCCCTCGAGATGAAAATGTGTTTCCTTTGAGACGAAATGATGGTAGTGTGGCTTCTCTAAGCACTCTTGATAATGGTGAATTTTACGACACGGATTCAGAGTTACTGGATTCATCTTAATTGTGTAAAGTATCGGAAATTGGGCTCTTTTCTGTAACTTTTCCGCAATTTGTTTTGGTTGATGTTTTCATGTTGTTTTTTTTTTTTTATCTTTATTTGAATGTGCGCATCTCTACTAGTAGGTCAGTTCCGTTTCTGAAGGAATTTTCTTTTTTTTTTTCTTTTATTCTATTGCTTATGGTTCTTTGTTGTTCGTTTCTCTATGCGAAACACAACTCTTCAGTGTTTTTTTTTTTTGTTTGTTTGATCTTTTTTTTTTCTCTTCGAGAATAGGATGCCGTTAATTTGTTTTGTGGTGGAATACTGTTTTTGGTAAATTCAAGAGCAGAGTGTATTAGTATGGATGATTGGTAAATGAAGGGTTACTCTTCAAAATATATATATATACTTCATTGCGTTTCCTTTATTATTCTTGTTTATTTATTCTTATTATCCTTGATTGCATTCATTTACTTGCCTTACATTTATTGCGTTTTGATTTTTATATTTAAGTTTTATCCCTTTTTTTTTTCATTATTCATGTATATATTTATATGTTTCACGTGATTTTTTTTTTCTTTTCGTAAAATTGAATATTTTCCTTCTTTTTCTTTTCTATTTTTCTTATATATATGTATATTTATTTATATTAATCATTATTTAACAGAAGCAGTAGGTTTAGGTTGTGGTATATATATATATATATATATATATATATATACATAATGGCGGGTGGTAGGGTATTTCGTCCCCTTCCTCCGCGGCCATTCGAGGCACGGAAAATTGTGTTGATTCGCTCTACCTTATTATTTACTGTGTCAATGTTTTTTTGCTATTGGATAGGAACAAATGTTGGTACCATTGCGGCGTTATTAATGCTTGTCTTTCTCTGGCTTGGTGGGGCCCTTAACCTTCTGGAGCATCTCTTCCGCTTTGTCACCGTAACGGGAGAGGAGGCGGACTTCCGTGATTTGCTTAGACGCGCTGATATTATGCAGCAACCCAATATTCAAAAAGTCTCTGACCGAGGAGAAAATAATTGGCTTTCGTATGGTTTTAGCTGTATGCAGGGATGGCGACGCACCATGGAGGATGATCACGTGACGATATTAAATGAGGATGGAGGCTTTTTTGGTGTATTTGATGGTCATAGTGGCGCTAATGTGGCTAGATTCTGTGGTGATAATATATTTGAGTTTGTAAAAAAAACAGCGGCTTTTGAGGATAAAAATTATACCAAAGCGCTTTATGATGGGTTTATAGACATTGATAAACACCTTTATGCAAATTACGGAAATGAAAAGAGTGGATGTACGGCAGTGGTCCTTTTTGTAAAAGGGGATGAATTATACTGTGGTAATGCGGGTGATAGTCGTTCTATTCTTTGCCGTGATGGTGAACCCATACCGCTCAGTAATGATCATAAACCGTTTCTCCCCAGTGAACAATCACGTATAGAGCGGGCAGGCGGATATGTGTGGAATCGCCGTGTGAATGGAGCCTTAGCGCTCAGTCGAGCCATTGGGGATTTTGGGTTTAAATCGAATACACAAGTATCGTGGGATCAACAGGCAGTGACAAGTGCCCCAGAGGTTCGATTTAGTCGATTGAATCGTGATCGTGATGAGTTTGCTATTATAGCGTGTGATGGTATTTGGGATGTGTTAAGTAATGAACAAGTAGTAGAGTTTGTACGTTTGCGCATTAAACGTCGAGTTGCCCTTGATGTGATAGCAGAAGAACTGATTGAACGTTGTCTTTCTCCACATCCATTCGGTATTGGATGTGATAATATGTCTGTTGTTATTGTTCAATTCAAACAAAATACTCCTTCACAATCTCCCACAATGGTGAAAGAGAATAACGAAGTGATCACTGGTGAAACTATATCTCCAGTTAATGACAAACAATCATCATCATCATCATCATCTATTATATCTGATGTAGAAAAAAATAAGGAATCCAACACTGTTGACAGTAGCGCTCAAGCAAGCAGAGAAAGATCTTTAGTAAAAGAGAAACAACAGAATGACACTAATCAACTGCCACCTTCATTAATAAAAACCACCGGCGAAGTTGAATCATCATTACAAAGTAGCAATAACGAGAATGATCTTTATATGGAGGAATATTTTACGGAAATAAAGGCAAAGCGAGAATAGTTATGCCTTTTTTTCTTTTTGCGTTCCTACTTTTTCTTTTTCTTTCTCTCTTTTCTTTTTTCCTTTACTCATGTTCTTGGCAATTTTTATGCGTTTTTTTTTTTTTTGTTGTTGTTGTATTTGTGTATTCACCTTTGCTCCAGCTGTGGTCTGGTGTACGGGATAAAAGTGCGGGAATAAGTAAAAAAAAAAAAAAAAAGAAAGAAAAAAAGAAAAGAATAAAGTGAAGAATAAAGAGGCAATAAGAAAAAGAGGAGATAGTTTATTTCGTTCTTCTTGGTAACCACAATTGGAAATGAGTATTGCCAAGAAATAGAAAAAGAAAACGGAATTCACACAGATACACTCATACTTACTTCCACATACAGATGTGACCGGTGAGAGGAAAATGACCGAAAGAAAAAGGAAATATTTACTGCCTGGATATTTTATGGAATTCATTCAATGTGTGGTTTCTTTCTTATTATTATTATTATTATTATTATTATTGTTATTTTTATTGCCTTCTTTTATTTGCTTTGATTGCTCTAGCGAATGGTGCGAAGAACTTTAGTTGAGGAGAGGAAGAAAAGGGGGAAAGGAGGATGATCTTTGCGTTCCCATACCCCTTGTTTGTTAATAACATATTTTTCAATTTTGTCTGAAAAAAGGACATTATTACAAGCAAGGGGGAGAATGAATAAATTAATGAATAAGCAAAGTATATATTTAGATATATACATATATATATATATATATATATATATATATGTCTACACCGGTGGATTTTTGCTGAATTCTTGCTTTTTTCTTATCTGTTTCTTTTTTTTTCCTTTACGCGTGTTTTTCTGTTAACGAAAGACAGTGAAGAAGTAGACTTGTAATAGAAACAATAAAAAAGGAATAACAGAAAAAAAAAGTCGATGAATATAAGCAAAATAAAAAATAAAAGATATGTGTTGTTTGTTTTGCAACAGCTTCGGATTTCTTTTTTTTTTCTTGACATGACACTTGTATTTCACCTTCTAGTGGTATCAAGTAAATTTGTTTTTCTTAGTCCTGCCTTGTAATGGTGTTCCAGTGGTTCTTCCCTTTTTTCTTTATCTGTTTTTTTTTTCCTTTATTTATTTCCTGTATACTACGTATGATACTGTTTTTTTATTCTTTTCTTTTCTTTTATCTAAAGTGACGTGAAGAGTAAAAGGGGGGAAAGTGTAGTGGGTAGTGGGGTATATATATATATAATGACGGACTTTATAGCGGGATGGATGGGTGGACTCTCTGTCCTTCTCGTTGGTCATCCATTTGACACTATTAAAGTATGGCAACAGAGCATAAATGCAGGAAGTGTGTCTGGCTCTTCAAGTTTAGTGCGAAACAATAGTATTAAGGCTGCAATGGAGATGTACCGTGCAGAGGGAATAGGGGCTTTTTATAAAGGTATCTGTGCACCCATGTGTGCTGTGGGATTAGCGAATGGGGCTCTCTTTGGAACTTATAGTTCTATTGTAAATATAATGATTCGCAACGGTTCATCTAGTTATTACTACAATGATGATCATCATATTCTTGTTAAATATTCTCAAACCCACGATCATAGCATCACAGATAGTGAGAAGAAATATCATCGTAGAAATAGTATGGGTAATTCTAGTGATGGCTATCAGAAGCAAGATCTCTCTGAACACCTTCGAACAGGTGGTCAACTGACTGCCTTTGAAAACTTTATTGCTTCCACAGGAGCTGGTATAGCATATGCAACCATTATGAATCCTTTTGAAGTTGTTAAAATACGTCGACAAACAGAACGTCTTTTTCCACATCGCCGTTATCTTGGAACGGTACACTGTGCACGACAATTATATGCAAAAGGAGGTATTAAATCTTTTTTTAAAGGATACACGGCGACACTTATTCGTGATATACCCGGTACTGGTGTATATCTCTATAGTTATTCTACCTTTATTCGTCTCTTTGGTGGTGAGAAGAAGAACCCTAATGTGCCTCGTATTCTTCTTGCAGGTGGCTGTGCTGGGGTCACTCAATGGATCCTTATATTCCCCCTTGATACGATTAAAACAAAAATACAAATTTCAAAAGAAGGAGAATATGTGGGATGGACACGGTGTGCGAGAAAATTATATAATCATCGTGGCTTTATTGGACTTTATCGCGGAGTGGCGCCTGCACTCGTGCGTGCATTTGCAGCGAATGGGGCGGCATTTGTGGGTGTGGAGGCCACACTTGAGTTTTTCCGCAGTGCCGGCATGGAAGACGGTGATGTCTGGCAGTCTTAAGAAGAAATAATATCACATACATACAGGATGAAAAAGAGAAAAAATAAAAAAAAGTATATATAACATCTTTTTATCTTGTATTTTTCGTTGATTATTTCTCTTATTTTTTTTTTTCTATGTGTTTCACTTAGTTTTTCTCTTGCGATTGCTTTTTTTTTTTTCTTTGCAAATCCCATTATGGGATGTGCCTGATTATTATAATAATCACCTTTTTTTGTTCCAAACTCTGTGTATTTGTGTGCCTGTGTTCGCCCATAAAAAAAAAAAAAAAGAACAGCTTCACCCGATTCTTCTCTTTATATATTTTCCCTAAAGCACTCACTCATCCAGAGTTAGAGATATACGCACAAACATACAAACTAGGATAAAAAAAAAAAAAAGAAGAGCATATTATCATGGCAGATCCCTTTTACGATGTGCGCAATGCCCTCACCGTAGGTAATTATCACCAAGCCGTCGCAGAAGCAAGTGGGGTGCGCACAACTCTTCGCAAGGCTGAAGACATCGCAGAGTTTAACGCCGAACGCGATGCCCTTCTCGCACTTGCGCAGATTGGACTCGGTCAGTTCGAGACTGTGATTGCCCAACTCGCCTCCGCCACTCACCCAACACTCAGAGCCGTACGCGCATGGGCAGAGTTCTGCGCCGCCCTCGCAAACAGCGGCAATCTTAACAAAAATGCCAATAATGCGAAGTTGTATGAAACGAATCCCGCTCTGCAAGCGCCGCTGCAAAAATTGACGGAAGCTGCAGAAAATGTCGATCCTGCACGTGTGACGGAGGCCGTACTCGCCGCCTGCGCACTCCTCGCCTCCGGTGATCCCACAGCCGCACTCAAGTTGGCAAAGGGATGGTTAAGTGAGTTGCCAACACCACAAGGTCCGGCTGCAATGCGGCAGCACATGGAACTGCGTGTTATTGTTGTAGAATCACTCCTGCGACTGCGACGTCCCGAGTTGGCACGTGCGGAAGTAAAAAGTATGGAACAGTTGGATGATGAGTCTGTTCTAACTGTGCTTTACTCCGGTATAGTGAGTCTCTACGAGGGAGTGAAAACACGTGATGCCTATGATACCGCACTTCAGAGGTTTAAAGAAATTTCAATGCGTTGTGGACAAAGTGTGCTTGCACACAACCTTATGGCCCTTGCGCATATGGGTCTTGGGGATTTTGCCTCAGCTGAACGTAGTCTTCTCGATGCGTTGGCTATGAAATCTGCAGATGTTGATACCACTGCAAATTTAGCAGTTGTCTCAGCACATCTTGGTAAGGCCGCAGATCCTACAAATCGCTATATTCAACAAGCTGCGGCTGTTGCTGGGACATGGAGTCAGAGCTTTAACGCTATGAGTGCTCGTCTGGATGAGGCGATTCTGCAGTTCTCTACGGCAGCGTAAAGGTGCAAGAGAGTAAGGAAGGATGGGCTGATTAGGAGAAGTATCTTTGCTTTGACGTAGTTAACACACACGCCACGCTTGGTACATTATAATATATATATATATATATATATATAT